AAACCGTTCACCAAATCAATCACCGATTCATACAATTTAATGGGAAGTCCTGTGTGTCGAGTCTAACCAATCAATACAATCATTATCTCATAAGTTATGCACTAATCAAACATTGAAATAAAGTTACAAACCGTTGGATTAAGTTTCAAGAAGAGCGGACTTTCAGTGATTTCGATGATCTGTTTGTGAATCTTGAGGTCGGATTCGGTGGGCGCGTCTCCATTGGTATACCAGCCCAAGAAGTCCAGTTCGGGAAACACTTGTTTGAATTGAGACTCTTTGGTGTTATAATAGTCTCTATCGATGACTGTCTCGCTGTCTATGCGATCAAAGTTGAGTTCAAAAGAGTTCATAATTTCAATGTTTCTGCCGTTTTGTTTGCCAATCAAAGCGCCGATCACTTGGGATGTGGACAACGCCTGACCGCTCGTCCCCTCGCAGACGCTGTTGTCTTGCGCTCTGATCCGTGTCCAGTGTTCCGACACATTCATTATCACCAATGGATGCAATGACACAGAGATGGCGGCTGTGGTGACCGAAGTGGACGCCATGACCGACGAGCCGACGGCCACACTCTCGCTGTCCATCTCTTGAGGCGCCGACTCGTTGACGAGCGCCGGCTCTACCGGTGGCTGACAATCCATTTTCTCGGTCTCGTTGTCCTCCGAAGACATCTCTAATGTCTAATCGTATGGATGGCTCACAGAGTAATCAATTGAATCTCAATTTGGCTTTAATTCAAATCAAATCTCAAATTGTTTTCAAAACCAAATGTTTTTTCTCTATTCAATGGAAATGACTATTGATTTGCGAACCAATCAAACGCTCCACACATTCAGCGCGAGTTTCAAATGTTTGTATTACTTGTGAACAATGATGTTACATGGTACAATGTTACAATGTTATATATTCTTTGAAACACTTTTTAATATTTGTTTCTCTTTTAGAAAATGATTACATTTTTGACCACAAATTCATATTTGAATTAATGTTTACATATTTCTAATGCATTAAATCATGCGATCACTTAATCCTTGTCTATATTAAGATCATCCGTATGTCTGTCACACCTTTTCTATGCTTCCTCTGAAAACAGTATCATGTCTTCATATTTGTATAAAATGCTAATTATTAGTTACAAAAGTATAAATTATTTGATTTAATACTTTATTATTGGGTGAACAATGAGAATACATTATATAATGCATTATAAAAATGTTTATTAATAAAGAATTGAATGGAAGTTATATAACTTTTTGTCCCAAAAGCGGAGAACCTCCTAAAAGTTTGGGGCATACCATATATAAATCCCATATTCCTTCTTGGAGTTATTTTGGGAGATTTTTATTTCGCCTTTTTTAGCACCGTTTGAGACGTTCTCATCTTTAATAACTTTTTAGTAACTATTTAGTGCAAAAACTATTTGCTTTTTGTAAATATCACGATCAAATATACAGTTTATACATGTAGATATGAAAACTTAGTTCAAGAATTTTGAATATTTCATTCAATATTTTTTATCTATTTGCAGAAAATATCAACAATTTGAAAGCAATCTTATAATTGTGGCATAACTTGATGTTATCAATCTTTAAATGTATTATTTTGATGAGCTTTTTGATGATCATTTTTATCAGCTTTTTAGTAACTTTTTAGCCATTTTTAAGTAACTTTTATTGTGACTTTAAGACTAGTTTTTGTCATCTAAAATTCAACGCTTTATTCGTTAATGTCATATAATATTAATTAACAATTTGGTCGATCTATGAAAACACTTGTTCACTGATTATTGAATTAATTGTTAATATTAATGTTTAAGGTATAGATTCACTCAATTTTGAAAGTATTTCATTCAATATTAAATGTATACTCATTATATCCCAACTCATATACCCAACTGTTAAATTCTAATACATAGAAAAAAGAACCATGGTCACCCTTTTAAGAGATCAAGGAATGTTCAACATTGTTAATTACTATAATTATTGTAAATATTTAGCCAATAAATAATTGTTTAACAAATATAATATACACTTTGCATTAATTGTCTATATTTACACACAATGAACACAAAAATACTAAAATACAAATATTTGTCACGAACTAGAGTAGACATTCTAGTATTGTCAAATCATATTTAATATATTGTACAACACATATAATTATTATATTATTTCTCAAATTAAATAATATTTTGTTAAATAGAAAAAATTAATTCAATAAAAAGTTTTAAAAATACAGATTAAGTGAAGTAAGGACTCAATAGATTAGATTTGTTTCAAAACTGATTACTAAATAGAAAATGAGTGCAATTTATACCAAATGTTCTTAAAGTATATCATATACTGAATGCACTGCTAATGCCTTTCATATAAATATAGCACTAAATTAAATATTAAGACATTTGTTGTAATTAATAAATTAGTCAAATAAACACAAAGCAAAAGCTTTGAACAAATATATCAATTAATTACAAAACGTAATGACGTTATGATTAGAGGATGTGATCACGTCTTTGCACTTTACGTCCAACAGTAGAGTTAACAGTAAACCAAACCCATAGAGGAGTCTGTAATGCGAGCAATGAATGCATGAATAGTGTGTTTATGAGCTCTGATTCTCACGTTTCACAACAAACTTATCGACAAAAAACTGATTTGCATTTCAGTGAAAACTTTTCACTACAAATAGTTTACGAATTTATTGTAATTTAATTTTTTCAAAACAAAATGTTTCAAACAATTGGTAATAGTTTTGCGAAACAAATGATTTTCGTATTGATATCTACCCGAAAGCGTATGAATTGTCGTCAATTGATCCAAAATAAGGTCTTGAGAAGCAATTTATCGAAGTTTGGAAAGAGTTCTTCACTTCTATTATCGCTTTCGCTCTTCAAAAGCAAAGACAAAGAAT